TAAGAAGGGATTTTTTGATATTCCCACCGCAGGGGGGAGAGAGAGGATTAAGGCTTACTGTGAAAAACTTGGCTTCTATTATACTATTTTAGATGCGGGTTTTTGCGTTTTTGATTGCGTTTTAATAGGGTACGTCAAGAGAATTTACACTAAGAAGAAATTTTTCGAAAATTCTCACGCGGGGGAGAGGGACAGAATTAAGGCTTACCGTGAAGAACTTGGCTTCTATTATATTATTTTAGATGCGGGTTTTTGCGTTTTAATAGGGTACGTCAAGAGAATTTACATTAAGAAGAAATTTTTTGAAAAATTCCCCCCATGGGGAAGTGTTATAAATTTATAATAGATACATTTTGAGCCACAACAACGCGTGGCGGGGTCTGCTAGTTAAATAATAGATTGATAGATAGAAATTATGAAACATGATTTGAAGTAATTTGTTGAAGAATACTAGTTACAAATCTTATTCAATTATAGTTTTTTAATTAGCTGCCATTGTTGACAGATTTTTGAAATTTTAATTTTATTTATTTACCTTTAAATTTTATAATTAAATTATTTTAATTGCAGGCAGAATGTTATTTTGTTGATCATGGAGATTCCGAAATTTTAAGTGTTAAATGCCTTTATGAATTAGAATCCAGATTTGCAAAGTTACCATTTCAGGTAAAAGTCTTTTGGATAAATGTATGCTTTTAAATATATACATATAATTACATTTTTAGTAGAGAAAATAGTTATAAATAGAGAGAGAGAGCATTTTTCTGAAAAGTATATAATAATTAGCCTGTTAACTGTGGTTAATGCTAGCAATAATGAATATATTTAATAATAATTTTTTCTGTTTTATAATCAATAGAAATTATGTTGATGCTTAGTTAATAATTATACATGCTTTTTAGAATTCTGTTTTGTGACATAATATTTATTATAGTAATTGTAATGATAAAAATGCAGCGTTTGAATAAAAAAAATTATAATATTTCGTAATAAATGTATTCGATTTGTAAAATCAGTATCATACGTATATCAATGAAAAAATAAATAATAGAATTGAAATATTAAAATTGCAATCATTATTAAATATTTTGCTCTATTTTCCTATATTATTCACATTTACTTTTATTTTCACATGATCATATTACTAAAATATGATTACAGTAGAGCATCGATTATCCGACTCAATTGGGGACTCATGTTGGTCGGATAACTGAAAAATTGGATAACCGAAAAGAATGAAAAAAATACATTATTAGTATAGTATATTAGTATATCCCATGTAATTAGTTTATTGTATATCGCTATTAACCAACTTTGCGTTGAATTTTCATCAATGTTAAGCCTAACAAATTCTTTTAAAAAATAATAATCGTCACTATTGTATCATTAAAAATTATTTTAAAATTATTTTATTGCTCACAAAATAAACAACCACTTATAATTATAAAATTAAGTCTCGTTTAAATACTGGCCTCCCTTCAATGATTGAGCCAGTATTGCCAGCTAAAACATGCAAAAATTTAACAAAAATAATAATAAAGTAGTCAAGACATAGCCAAATATTGTAGTGCCACATCACTAGCGGACATTTGAAATTTGTGGAAGGTTGGTTAACCGATGTGACGGTTAATCGGGGGGTCGGATAATCGATGCTCTACTGTACTTCATATTATGAAGTAATTGTAAAAACATTTTAGTTATATTCTTTGTTCTGACTGTTATTAATGGTGATGATAATTGAGTAATTACTTCATTACTTAGTCTAATCTTATTTTTCTATAAATGTGTAGTTTATATCAGTATATAACTGTTGAAATTCTCCTTATGAAATTAAAGTGATTTGTGTTAATTACAATATTTTCTGAAATTGCTATATGATGATTTAACTACTTAGTTTTTTTTTTTTTTTGTTAAAGCATTCTGTTGATTTTTGTCTTCAGCAATGTGAATCTTAAGTATTTTCATTTTTAAACTTCTCTTATTTTACTTCTGATTACTTG